TCTCTCTCTCTCTCTCTCTCTCTCTCTCTCTCTCATCTTGTCACAGGAAATGTCCATCTAGCATTTCATAACCAGAGTTGTCTTCTGTTATCTCCCATCTCCAGATGTCGTTAACAGCTCGGCCACCATGAGGTGGACATCGTTAGTAAGATCACTCGGTAGTTCACCGGGGTCAGTCAGTGGGCACTGGACATGGAGTGACCCTTATTTGGGCCAATTTTCGGGAACTCTAACGATGTCATATTATTTGAATGCAAGACGGTCCTACTTCATATACACTAGTGACATGGTCAAAGTCTTATTTAAAGGGGAGAGATCTGACGGGACACTACCTTTGAACGTTGTTGTAACAAGCTTGAACCAAGGAAGACTTTTTTCTTTGCCATAAGGCCGTTACCTGAAGACAAAAAAGTCGTTTTGTTCCCTACAAGGACAATATATAAGTTGCAGCTTTGTTAAGAAGCGTTTGGATCACCGCTAAACGAGCAGTGTCAAGACATAAACAGAAAAGGTCTTCCAACATTGTCGTGGCTACAATTTTTCTTATCAAAATGGTGGCTGAATATGGGTTCTCGTTTGCTGAATGAGTTTGCACCGTTGACGTAGGCTTCTACTCAACCAGTCTGAATTTTCTTAGATCATTTTTGCAAGGGAGTGGCGATAAGGTAAGATTGGTCGGTGTTTTTCTAGTTAATTTGTAGAAAGATTTATTACTCGGATCTGGTTTTACATTCCTTTTTATTTTCTTCAAGAAATGATATCCCAGAATTTCCAATTGATGCAGTTTTGGGCGTTATGAAGTGACTATTTCTAACACGGGCATGCATTTTCCGGGTATGCCTGGTATATCAGTATTGCTACTTTACTTATTGATAGAATCTGAATAATGAAACAATATAACATGTGCAAGCGTTATTTTTTCTAACACAGGATATACAAGTATAAGAACCCATTTTTTATTGTTAAATCCACACGGACATAAACTGATCGGGATTCATAGCTTAACGTGTATAAAACAGCTGATCCTGGAGTAGATCCTGCTGGGCTTGCCACCAAGTGATATCACTCTGTGACGTCACGTTGAACCTTCAAACTTATTTTCGCTTTTTAGATTTTATGCACAATAGATACGTAGTGGTGTGTCATTTAAATGATCAAGCATGTTTGGAAAGGCTAAAAAGATTTAAGCTAAACTTGGAGGCCATAAGCATTATTATTTGAGAGTACTCCGTCACATGATGTGACGTCATCTCCTCATTTTCCGTGCGCTGTCACTCTGTCAACTCGTCATATTACGGTGCCGTTAAGTTCAAAGGAAACGCCCACAGTTAAATGCCAAACGCGTAATTGTCAGATTATTTGGAGAACATTACACACCAGAACTGCCATATGGATCACATTACACACATTAGACAATTAAAAAGAAATCAGTGTCAGTGAGAGACACCTTTGTTGAATGAAATGGGGGGTTTCTTAATTAGATGTTACGATTTCTCGATGTTCATGAGGATGATAATGGTGAATTACATTAGCTAAATTGAGATAAAGGCGGCATTTAATTTAAATTTTATGAGGTAATGGTTGTCCTTAGTTGACACCGACAGAAATTTCAATCCAGTGTTTTAGAACCCGTTAGTGCAAACATTAAGGCGAATGCGTTTGACGAGCTCCAAAACCTCAATGCACCGGTAGCAAAATTGACTACCAGCCTGACAGACAGCACTTCAGTCGTCTTTTTCTTTTTGGATTTAAAGCTGTACAAATATCAAGCACCTCTTATTTCGATGTGCCTCTCTTTCAAAAACGTTAATCTTAGAAACAGCAGCAGAATTTCTTTTGATATCCCATTAAGGGGCCGTTTCCAATAAAACTTTCGTTCTACGTAGATCGATCCAGATCCGAGAGGACTCTCGCTGAATGCAATCACATAAACAGATAAACACGCCTCCTCCTAGCGTTGAATAGAATACAGAAATGAAGGTGATTATACGAGTACCTTGAAAACAAGGAGACTTGTTAATCTCTTAATCTGATTGCATTCAGCGAGAGTCCTTGCGGAGTATGATCGATCAACGTAGAACGATAGTGTCATTGGGAATGAGCCCCAAGATATGAATCTAAATATTTACCCTTCGCCAAATTCTACGTAACACTAAAATCTTTTAAGGCCTTGAACGACATTGCCTTCTACATTTTTTTATGTATGGCGCAGCCAATTAGCTCTATAGGCCATTGTACTGATCGTCTTATAAATTTTAATTTTCTAACATTTTGCAAATCGAAACCATTTTAGTCAGGTAGGAAATAAGGTCCCTTTAAAGCTTGTTCACTTGCCATTTTCCATATTTAATTGTGAGTTTCCCTTTTCTCCTCACGATCCCGTACCCATTTAGTGCAATACTGCCAGAGCCACAGGTAACAACGCGTTCTTTATCCCTACGCCTTTTATCTCCCTTATCGCCAACTCCTAGGGAAAGGTACGTAGTTGTTTTATAATTTTGTCGTGACAGGAGAATTGGTGATAAAAATTAACGACCTTTCGAATAGTATTTTAATGATAATTTTTCCTCCAATGCAACTATATCTCTGAATGGACCGTCCTGAATCGAATGTGTTTTATTGGATAATCCTGGAAAGGGGGGCTGTTGGGGGGGGGGGGCATTTTTCGTAATGATTTCTTTATCGTAACGAAGTGCCCTGGTTGCCATGATTTAAATTTTGACTGAATGGAATTCAAAATTATGCTAGAAATCACCTGGATTCACGCGTGATTATTATTTTTTTTTTTCGAAAATAAGCAAAGCATTATATCCAGCGAAAGTAGAGGGATCCGGTGCGGTTCCCATGACTGCCCAACCACACAGGGCAAGATAGGGGACTAATAGGGGTTAATTTGGACCCCGTTGTGGTTTTTTAACACCCATATCAACCACGACGCCTGATCACGGCCTCGCGTGAGTGGGACGCATCGTTACTCGTAGAAACAATCACTGCAGAATTGAGCCATCAATGTGAATAAGAACAGTGTTAAAACACACGTCATCCGTGTATCAAAATGGGATCAAGTCTTGCTTAATGATAGTGTGGGCCAGGTGTATTGTTTTGTGCTTTATGTTATGTGACCCAGCAGAGAGAGGGCATCCAGTGCTTGTATATGCATTATAACTACATGTGTGTCCGTGCACTGCAGCCAATATAATATGCATAGATTTAATGGTATTGTACATTATAACTGAGGACAATGTTAAGTCTCTCTCTCTCTTTCTCTCTCTTTCTCTCTCTCTCTCTCTCTCTTTTGCAGCCAATATAACATGCATAGATTTAATGGTATTGTACATTATAACTGAGGACAATGTTAAGTCTCTCTCTCTCTCTTTCTCTCTCTCTCTCTCTCTCTCTCTCTCCTGTGCGTGTGCGCCTGTGTATATGCATGTACGCATATGCGCAACAAATGCACCCATGTGCACTTGCGTTAGTGCCCATAAATTCGGAAGAACTTGCTAGAGTGTTGTTCAGTAGAAAAAGTAAAAATCCGTTATGACGCCAGGATTCACGCTGTATATTTGCTATTTCGAAAATCTGTATGAAGTCCATATCTGGCACAGTTTATAGATATAGATATTTTCAGCTGCCGAAGTCATGATACAGTTACATCGTGCTATCGACATAAAACCAGCACATCCCGTTAAATAGCCGGGCATTCCCAAAGTTTTGTTAAATGTTATCTGTTTTTGGGTGAACGACCATCTCCTATTTGAACAAAGGGAATTTAAGTGACTTGTTAGTCTTCAAAATACTTTATAGAATAGTCCTTGCATATTTGCTCGAATCAGCTATGCCCTGCCATATTTTTTTAATTTTCGGAAAAAAGCGATACAATTATAGATGAGTCACTCTTCTTCGATCAAAGTTCGATTAACCTCTCTCAAAGCAGTTCGTTATCTTCTATATATAGTTTTAAAACAAAGGGACATACAGAAAAATAAACTGGCACCTGGGAGCTTATCTGGACGCTTCCGGACTTAATCTAAGAGGAAATAATTTGCGGCATGACAAATGGTGTTGGGTATTTGCAAATTGCCTTGTCAAAACAATATCGAACCAGTTTCATTTTCCATTCCAAAACCGCCAATCGGCGCGTGCACGCTCCGAACCAATCAGAGGTCGCGGCTCTTTGACTCCAATTCCTGTTACAATTAATGGCTGTTTTCTCGTATAAAAACAAAATACATTGTGTTCTTTTCACAATGGCTTGGCTGTGACTAGGAGCCAGATTCCTCCCAGGATCAGAAGGTTAAGCGGTAGGGATCATCTCATTGTATTTTAAACGACAGATAAATGATCGTTTGGCGCACAGGGGAAAGATGGAAAGGTGGCATGCTCGGTGTCTTACTTACAGCATGAAATCTGGTGTTTTTTTTTTTTTTTTTTTTTTTTTTTTTTTGGGTTGGCTTCAACGGAGAATAATGCACAACGTTCAGTTCATTAAAGGCATTTAATGCTAGATTAATAGTAAGATCTTTAAAGGCGATGCTTTTCAATATTCTACTCATCTCTTTGACATTTAATGTGCAGCATGAAAGAAATATAAAGTAGACCGAATGAAAACGTTAAAATGAATAAACGGCGAAAAGGACCAGTGGCTTGCTTATTAATTAATTTGTTGGTTGGTTGGTTGGTTGATTGGTAACGGCTATGCAGAATGCTTGGACGTGTCAAATTATGTTATTCTTACAATATGTATCAAAAAGAAAATGAATATGCACGTTTATCTTCTTGGTTTCAATCAAAGATATACGTTTGAAACCTCACATAGTGTTTTCAAAAGCCGCAATTTCTATTTGTTGGTTTTTATTTGGACACTCAGATTTCAGCCACTGCCTTCACTCACGTGGTCTAATGTACACACTTGCAACGTATTCATAATTTCTAAAAAAAATTGCTTATTTTAAAGAAAATTTAATTTGATTATTATAAAAGTTGTTTTTATTATATTGCAGTCACCTTCGCTGACTGGCACCAATGCCACACACGAAAGTCACAGTCATGGAGGAAGTGACGTCACCCAGTGATTCCCAAGATAAACCCAATCCGGGAGAACTCACCGACGCAACAGAGCACGCTCAACGCGAGACAACCACAGACAGAGAGCTAAATACGGAAGAATTTTCAAAAATGGCGGACAACTTCTGTAAAGAGTTAAAGTCAATATCAAAGGGACCTAAGATTCCTCTTCCAAATGGCGGATCTACCAAAACATCAACAAGCAGACGACCATCAAATCCGAGAAACATGATGAGATGCTACAGCGGCACCTCTTTACAGCAAAAGTCAAATACATCGGCGCCGTCGACAAACGCACCGAAGCGAACTCCAAGCCTCGCGGGATCTCAGACCCCTGGGCAGACGAAACAGCACAGGAAGGGGTCCACTACTAGCACTGCCTCGGTAGCTGGGCGGGCAAACTCTAAACCTCTTCCCCGTCGACAAAACAGCTCCCCGGCTGTTCTGAGGGTTGGAGCCCAAACTACCGAGTCGACGCAAAAAATGTCGCACAATTTGCATGCAAAAATAACTGGACAAAAGCAAAGTGGTGCTAAATCCACTATGGCTAATGGTCGGTCATCTCCGTCTGTTTCTGGCATGTCTACGGGGCGTCGGTTATCAACGGGATCTTCGACCACTCTGACGCAAGCTGCACGGCCTTCTACGCCAAGGCGGGGGTCCACTCCTAAAGCTACCTCTACAAAATCAACGTCACCTACACGTAAGACTGTCTCCCCTAAGTCGACATCACCGTCTCGTGCGTCTTCCTCGCGATCTGCGTCGAGTCGTCCATCAAAACCTACGGCCACTGTAAGGCCCACAAGAATTCAAACTGCAGAGAACAGCAAAATAGCTGTGTCATCGTCGTCGTCGTCTGCGCCATCATCTGCAAAAGGCTCAATGGCGTCCGATCCCTGCTCAAATGTTAACAGCAGGTCCGCCAACACTAACTGTGATACACAAATGCCTAGCTCCCATGTTGTTCAATCTGGAATAGGCAATAACCCCAAAATAACAGTAAGTGCAAATAGCAATGCCAATACACACGCAGAATCAAATCAGCCCGGGAAGAGTAACGCAAGTGACAATGCAACCTTTGTATGTACACCCGGACAACATATAGTAATCCCCTCCTGGGAGAGCGGGCAGTACACCATCGTCGTTGGCGCCAATGGCGATAGTTCGGTTAAACCAGCAAAAGAAGCTGAAACCGTTGGTACAGTTAAGGAAAACGCCTACGTCGACGCTGCCGCGCACGCTACTTCCAGCTCTCAAATGACACGTAACATTGCTTCAATTGTCATACCCATAAAAGGAAGCCCCAGCGAGTCTTGTCCGACCGATAATACACCTGATGCTCTTATTGTACCAACCGTTCCAGTTGAAAAGAAAATGGCGGCTGTGGCTTCTAAAGCTGGGGAAATTAATGCATCTGGTCCAAAGACACCGACCAAAGCCTTAGACACGCGTCCTAGGCAACACATTATACTTCCGGTCCAAGAAGGAACGCTGAAAAAAGACTCGTTCAAAATTGTTGTTGACCCCGAGAAGGGCGTGCAGAGCATATACACCTCCAATGGGAAAAATCTGGCTGTTAGTGAGAATGTGAACTTTCATAAGAACCCGGAAGGCGGTTTTACGTTGACTCTTCCTACGGCAATGCACAATGCGGTAGAGCAGTCTGAGAAATGCTCGCCCGGCGCTGAAAATACTTTTAACAATAACCTCGATGAAATAGACATAACAAAGTCAGTGCACGAAAAGGAAGTGCAGGGAAAGTCACCTTCGTCCCTCGTCGTAGAAAACCCAAAATCTACCAATAGTGAGACATCTGAGAAACTCGGTTCAAAGGAAACGACCCTCGCATTAGATCATTCAGAGGAGACAACATTAGATGATAACGATGCAGTAGTGGAGGAAATCGAAATCGAAAGTGAAATGGACCAGAGAATAAGCCTTCTCAGTAGTTCTATCTCAGGGATCATAGCAAAAGCTACCAATGATACGTGTTTGTATGATTTAGGACGGGTCGAAGGGTCGGCGGAATTCACTTGTTCCTCTCATGAAACAATCACTGCTTCTCAATTAGTGAGTCGTGACGTCGCGTCCTTTGAGGACGATTCTAAAGTGTCAGAGATTAAGAGTACTCATTTGAGTACTCATTTGAGTGACTCCTCTTTATTTTCTGGTTCCTTAAAACGTGAAACTGAAAGTATTCGTCACGAAAATCGATCCTCAATAGAAGTCAACACCTCACATAAAAATACTCAACAATATAAAGTAACTTACGTGGGAGCTAGCTCTGACAATAAATCTGAAAGCAAACTGATAAACAGCAGCAATGACTTCACCGTAAAAATAGACGGCATCATAAACAAAACGACACATTTGCCCCCAGTGAAAGAAAGTAAAACAGAAGCTCCTGAAGATGGTGACTTGGACACAACAGACCCATTACTACAGGTTAAACAAATCCTGTTGGAGAGTGGACGGTTAAATCCCCCCAAGCCGGCCCCTCACTTATCGTTCCTCTCCGTACCAGACCCCGACGAGTTCATCGGCTTCAATCTCTCGGTACGTTCCAGAAGCAACAGCAGAGGATCTACGTGTAGTGAGTACGAACCGGTCGCCTCCTTCAACATCACAGAAGAGGCGTTCGACGCTGCGTCTCTTGAACTGGACTGTAACTCTGAGAGCGGGTCCGTTAGTAACCTGTCCGAGACCGACAGTGTCAACAGCAGCAGCGCCCTCTATCAAAGCGGGGAGTGCGTGGGTGGTAACAATAAGAACCTGAGACGCAATAAAAACTTTAGCGGCTTAACTATAGACGTCCCTGACATCTGGAGCTCGGACGATGAAGAGCCGAAGCGGAGTCGGTTCGACGATGATTTCAATTCGGATGAGGACAACGAGGATAATAATGAGGATGAGATTGAGGAAAACAGGATGCCGAGCCCGTTGATGTCGCCCGGATTCGCCCCAAGTGAATTTTGGACCAAGGCTATTACGGACTTTGAGATGAAGCACGGGAACTTAGACCAGTACACCTCCATGAGTTCTTTAACCAGTACTCACTCTCGCAGATCCTCGATTGGGAATCTGGAGCAGTATTCATCAATGACGTCACTGTGCAGTAGCACTCCACGACGTTCAGCTTCCAAGACGATCCGATCCAAGCTTCGGTCGGGAAGTTTGAGAAGTTCCACGGAATCCCTTCACAGTGCGAGTTCCTGCGAATCCTTAAACGGCAGTAATCACAGTTTAGGTAAATTGCAGCCTTCTGAAATATATTGACTCGTATGTTTTTTGCATATCTTTTTTCTTCAAAAACGAAACCTCTGTTGCAAATTAAACAATGAGTTAAAATTGTCCAATTTTCCTAAGTCGTAATATTTTATATCGATATCATTAAAAAATAGAACATCATGTCTTAGACAACACATTTTCTTCGTGTTTTCTACAATGGCCGTTTTTTTTTTTTTTTTTTTTTTTTTTTTTTTTTTCGAAATTAACAGCCACTCATTTGATTTCGTCACAAAAGCATTAAATAAAAAATATCACCTCTTTTACAGATGTCAATGAGAACTTTGAGCGGCCTCGACTTGGCAGCTTTACCAGGTCTGTTGTCCATTCCATCCCAAAGCTGGTCGTAGAACCTCCAGAAACTGAGTCTGACGACGAAAGTGACAAGAGTCTCGGCAACTCTGAAATTGCTAGTAACAGTAGTAGAAACGGTTCCAATTTACCAGGGACAAGAATATCGCCAATATCCTTAGAAAATTATAACCTGAACCGCTACGACAAGGACGCGGACAACGACCTTGACAGGTTAAAGATGATGACAACCAGAATGAGGCTGCAGACCAGGCGGCCCAGCTATCAGGAGTGGCGGGAGGAGTACATCGAGAAGCCTCTCCTCGTGCACCTGCGCCAGCGAAAGGATTCCTCCTCGTTACAGGACGAGGGGATCACGGATGAGAAGGACCGCAGAGAAGAGATTAATAAGGCTATTGAGTGGCTGAGGAAAGAGCTGGTTAGTTTTAAGTACTAAAACAGATATATTACAGTCTGTAGTGTGTTAACACCAAATAATTTGTATAAATATGTATTTATTCATTCAAATTATGTTATTTTCTTAACACTATTTATAACTTTTACGGCAATTTTACTGGCATGTCATTTTTAAAAGCATGCATCCTGTTGTTGTGGCAATTAAATCTTTTCTGTCCTTTAAAAATATTGTCTTACTACCCTGTCACCTGTTCCATGCGCTTTAACTTACCACTGATTTCCGATCATGTTTCTTTACTTCAGATGGACATGAAAAATCTCGACCAAGAGCTGGCCCGGAAGCTGATCACCATACAACACGATATACGTCATCTCAAGCTGGCCAAGAGCTGTGACGAGCACCAAGAACTCCTTGATGACGTCAGAGAGGAGCTGGAAGACCGCGACCAAGACCGGACCTCTCCGCTGTACGAGTTTCCACTTCTCAGAATAAACGACACCCCTCTAGGTCAAGTGGGTGTTACTAGAATGAACCTTAGTAGGCGACGATTTTCATGTTGCTGAGGACAGTGAATAAATTGTTGATGGCGTACATAAGTTAGGAGATATGATGACGTCATATGTTCTGTTTCCGGTCTCCATTATGATCTGGACACGTTGTAAAATAGTACTTGTGATATATTTGAAGAGAAAAGCGGAATGCTGATCACTACGAAAAGTACGCATCCCTTGAACTTCCATTTAGATTATAAAATGTGCTGGACACATATCGTAAGAATTTCTGGATTCATGTTTCAAAAATTTCTTTTCAAACTAGTTTCCTTGAGACATCTAGAATGTAAACCACTCTTTTTAAATCAAACAACGAGGTTGATTTAATTTGACTTGTTTCTGTTTTGCTTCTTTATAATAGTTAATTGATACATATGAGTATAGAAATATGAAAGGTAATTAATGGTAGCAAAGTGTTTTAAAAGTTGATCCATAAAACAGTGAGAGTCGTAATGATGGCTCAAACAGTTAGTTGTGATAGTGACTCGTACATGTAGTAGTGACTCTCACAAAAGCAATGGTAATGTCTCACAAAGCAGTCGTAATAATTTTCCCTGGAGAACTGCAACAAAGACAAGTCGTTATAGTGACTCGCGTAGTATACGTAGTCATGATAATTCCTGACAGTCTCACGGTAGTCGTAAAAAGGACTCTTGCAGTAGTTGTGATAGTCACTCATAACATAGTTGTGATAGTAACAGGCACGGTAACCATGGTAGTGACTCACTTAGAGACCAGTCAAATGTGATAAAGACGCACCTGAAATACAGGACCTACTAGGATATCGCTTTTTTGAATGGGCGACCGAAAACGTACGTCAAATTGATGGTTTTGAAAAGTAACGATGATAATACAAATTAATATATATACACATATTAAAGTTATAGACAGATTTATATTTGTTTTATTAATAGAGCCTGGGGCAACGTGCTATACAATTCCTATAATGTTATTTTAACTATTTTAATTGATATTATAACCAGGTGCATGTTTTGTATTCTTGTCTTCATATCTGAAACACTAGTATATACTTGTGATATATGGAATAACTAGAAATTCAGTAAGTTGATAAAACGTAGCGAATGTCAATAAATGTGTCAATAATATTTCTTTGTTAGGTTGTTAAATCTGACCACTTATTTTAAGAAGAAAAGGATCTGTAGACTTAATTTTTTGACAGAGATAGTTCAAGTATTTGCCATCTTCTTTGTTTTGAAACGTATGGGTCCTCGTGGCGACTAAAAAAATGAAGATTTAAAGAGCATTTTCTCTAAATAAGAGCATAATCCTATAATTCGAAATATGGTCAAATATTACCCTAAGGTTTACCTTAGTTTTTTGGGTGACGGCAAGCGAGGCCATATTATTCCACTGTTCAATTTCATAGGTATAATTCACATACTTTCGTAAAAAATATGACTTGTCCATGTGAATGAAAAATGCCACACATCACATTTGCTTCCGTGGTTCACAGTTTGTGAATGTTCTATTTGGGTAGAAACAATGGGAGTCCTCCATGTCCGAGTCTCATTCCTTCGATTCAGCCATGGTTTTTCGCAGCACAAAAATAAATTCAGAACTGAACGTGCTATACTGTAAGCAACAATATGTGTGTGTTTTTTTTTAATCTAAATCCAATATGGCACATTTCAATATTTCCACAGAAGGTCTGGCCATGAAAACATAGCTACCATTGCGTCCTTTCAAGTTATGTGTGCTCTTGAAAAAATTCCCGTCGTAAAAATCTGGTGCATAATAAATAAATTAATTAATTTTGAAATCAATGAATCAATTAAAACCATTTTGACCCAGACTTTTTCGAGACCACATTAGATTACTCTCCCCCTTTCCACTGTAACTTGGATAAGCGAACTTGGACGTGGTAATCGGCAATGGTGTTCTATATTCCACGCTTTACATAAAGCAAATTAGCATGAAATATTACAAAGCTTCTGTTTTGAAGCTAGTTAAGTTGTTCAACGGTACGGCACGGCACCATTTCTCAGAGCCAAAAAAATAAAACCCACACATCAAGAACGTCACTTATTAAAAATAAATAAGTAAAATGAATGAAATAAAAAAAATAAAAATAGGAATAAAAGATTTTTGTAAATCTTAGAGAAAGTTGCACCAGCTGAACTTCTTCTCTTCCTCCTTGGGTTTTTCCATTGATTTAAGATACGCCACGCGGGCAGGATGATCATCTGCGGGACGGTTGTATGGCGTCCAGCGCGTGATCTCTGTGAAAAAGCGCTCCAGTTTGACAAAACGCTGAAATGACAAAGAATTAGAAGACCTAGAGTTGTTGTTATTACAGGTGTGAATATCCTTAAATTAGAATGAATCAATCAATGAATAACTGAAATAAATAAATAAATAAATGAATGAATTAGGAAGGTCGGCGGCAAAAGGGAAAAACAAGCCCCCCTTCTATGCACAGCCCTAAAACATACGGAATCGGATAGCACAAAATCTGCTGGTCAAATTAAGCCATGATGTGAAAATTGTAATCATGGAAACGGACCAAATCCAAAATGACCACTATGATTGCTACATTTTTCCATGGTTATGTACAGTCTTGGGACCCGCTTATCAAGCCCTGGAATAAAATATAAATTAGATGAGAGAGAGAGCGGAATCACCTTTTCCTGTTCTACTGTGAATCTGTGGTACAATCCTGCTGGCAAAATAATCAGGTCGCCCTTGGAAATTTCGATGCGGATCCACTTGTCCTCCAGATCTCTGACATCAAAATAGGCAACGCCGTCCACAGCCAAGCGGATCTCCTCGTCGGGATGCAGGTGCTCGGTGTAGAGCATTTTGCTCTGAAATCAAGAAAACGACACTGTTAGAAAACTCCCAGACAGCAGGGATCTTCAACAAGAAAGATCAGTTATCATAATTGATTAGTTTTGATGGATCATCATCATTAAAGAGTAATCTATTTTAAGGAGTCATTTCCAATGAAAATATCGTTCTTCGTAGACCGATCCAACTCTGCGGGGAGTGCAGTCAGATTAGCAGATGAATACGCCTCCTCTTGTTTCTAACGTACTCGTATTATCATCAGCTTTTCTGTATTCTGTTCATTGTAAGGAAGAGGCGGGTTAATGTGTTAATCTGATTACATTCAGCGAGAATCCCCGCGGATTTAGATTGAGCTATGTAGCCCAGTGGTGTCTATGGGAATGAAGCCTATGTCCGACCCAACCTTAGAAAAACCTTTTTATAACTTTTTCTGACAAATCTCAACTAGCAAACCAACAAACACACAACCTCCTTGGTGGACTTAATTAAATCAAATGTGTCTGCTCTAGCGCATTGCGCTCTGATATTATGAAAAAAAAAATGTCCTGAATATTAAGTTTCAGAGATTAGCAGAAAACACATACGACAGTCGGTGTGCCTCTGCTAGGAACCTCATCTACGTTTACCAGCTGAAAATTTGGGTATGCTGACATAAGAGGTGATTTTTTATTATTTCTGAAACTCAGGGTACTACTTCCTATAGCCTCCGAACCTAAGGGCCCTACTGGGGCTTCCCCTGACCTCTAAACCTAAGGGTGAAGGCTTACCACGTCCACGTAATCCGGCATGAGCTCTCTGCTGATGGCAATGCTGTCTCCGTGTTTGTATCCCCGCTCTTCCTTCAGCTTGGGTACCAGTCCTCCCTCCTCCATGTCGTCACCGTCCACGTCCACCTGAACACGTGATACGGGATATTTATATATGAAGTGAGATACATAATACTGGTGATAAGAAGAAGAAGAAAAAGAATAGGAAGAAGAAGGAGGGAGAATAACTTGAAGAGGCAGAAGAAAAAAATGACGAGAGAGAGAGAGAGAGAGAGAGAGGAGAGAGAGAGAGAGAGAGAGAGAGAGAAGAAAATAATTTGAGGGAAGAAAAATAAAAGAGAGAAAATAAATTGACATTCTAAGATCTTTGATCATATATGAAGATGATCTGTTTGCATATATGCGCAACACCCCCTCCTGTAGGTATATCTATTAGTCGGTTATTCATGCATTCTTTTATTTTCATTTATATTTTCCAACTATCCATCTATCTTTTAATGCTTCGGTTTATTCTTTATCTGATTACGGTTATTAATATATTATTTTATTTTTTTATCTATCTATTTATTCATTTATTTATTTATTTTTTGTTGGTCTGTCTGTTTATATCTACATATTTATCAAAAATTTATCATATTTTTATATCATCTTAATGACTAATTATTTTTTACTTATCTATAGATTTGTCTCACACAGTATCTCGTTCCTGTATACAAGTATATCACTATGTACAACAAACCCGCCCATCAGATGGAGTGAATGAGTCACCTAACACAACCCTGAATAACAACATAACCTGGATATAATACGACTAGTTTTGGTTATGGAAAGATATTTTCCACTCTCGACATTCACAGAGACTCTTTTAGTTCATTCTGTGCACATTTGCATTTCAGATCAAGAAAAAATAATAAAACAAAAACAATTAAAATTTATATTTAAAAAAAACTCCATCACCAAGTTGACCTTTGGTAGAAATTAAATTTGGAAATGCTGAAATACGAAGAACATGATATTCAAGGCATAATAGGATGTCTTCACTGGTATATCTTATTGAACCAGGTCCAAGATGAAGAAAAATGCAAAAGGGATCAAGATATGACGTTTATTAAAACATACAGGAACAGTGTCAACAACGTCGACGTGAACACGTGCACGGTATGCGTAATCCAAGATCACATTTCATTTCGACCCTAATGAAATGCACATTTGCTTTTGTTTTTTGTTTTTTTTTTAATCCAGACTGTTTTTTGAAAAGATCCTGGTACAGCTAAATCCTCATCAACTTCTCGCATTATGAACAAGTACCTCTTTATCTTAAGTTCTTTCAATTCATAAATGCGTTTAATGAAGCCTCTATGCAAAGCACGGTAGTGAATAAACAACATACTAAAAATACCCCTGTTTGACATCTTTTACTCCGTGATATGCTTAATCCAAGATTCAGAATGTAACTAGTTCTGGCAGGGAAATTTGTATCCGCATGCATCCCTGGGTGAGGTAATAACCATAAAAAAAAACAACTTCACGCATGAAAAGCACATCATCATCTTAGGCCTTTCCGATGTAAAAATATCGGTGAATTTAGGTCACACGGAAATATGAATAAAAACATGTGAAGCAGACGTTATCTTGATGCTGTTTTTGTACAGTACAAGGGACGTGCTTATTACGCACTTAGTATAAATCCTTAAAATATAAGTATTATTCTAATTAAGCGAAGTGGCGTTGATTGCAATTGTCATTCAACTGAAATTCAGTTAAATCTATGAAAACAGAACAAATATGCAATTCAAAGGTATGAGGTCGAGAACGAGCACGGACAGCAAGGTTATAGACGTTACAGGGGCGAAGAGAGTCACTAGGTTAAATGATCGTTTGTCTTCGCCTTGTTATGCTCTTTTTAACACTTAGAAACCAGGAAAAAACAGAAAATTCAGAAAAACAGGGCCTAGACGAAATGGGGCATGTAAACACGCTAGACGCAATCTCTTGTCCCCATATCCAGGCTAATCTTGAATTTAATTTTTTAAAAACAGGTGTTTGGTGTCCAGTTAACTGTGCAACTGAGGGTAAAATGAGAAGACATGAAGCATAATTAATCCTATATATACTAGATACTGAATTGTTAATTAGTGAAAATAAGGCAAAATACTTTCCGAGATAAGTGGGCATTCAACTCTTATTACCCGCATGCCTCTGTAGTTCCCAATAACAACATATATCAGTATAAATACAATGATAACAGAATTAATTTTCCAGCAAACTCTAGGTTTGAAAGTCTGGGGGGTAATGAGCCAAGAAGACGTGCAGCAGAATGAATTCAGTGTGCGCCATAGCGTCTCACCTTCCAGTAAAGTACGCCAATCTTCTTCAGACCTTCTAAATCCACAAACTGGGGCGGATCGGTCATGTGCGGGAGCTTCTTGTTCCCTTCTTCATCGTTATCGAAGTACCAGGCTCGAACCATGATCTGTGTTCCTTCAACCGCTACTGTGACCGTCAAACTGTGGTGACCTAGTATGAGTAACGAAGGAGTATTACGCCACGTGAAAAAAATGTACGCTGATGTTCTGCGTGTAACAGTGTATAATTTGCACTCTGTTGTGTCGACCTTGGCCTACATGCGGGCTCCATTAATATAAATCACTTTGAAGTTTCACGTTCTCCTAACAGTGAAGCAAACCAGTTTCCATGGATGTAGTTTAATTTTTGGACAGTATATGACAAAATTACAAAAAAAAAAAAAAAAAAAATGGTGGATGAGCACCAAAAAGTAATCGGATAAATAAATAAATAAATAAATAATAGGAGGGAAAGAAAGAAAGTAAGGAAAGAAATAAAGGAAGAAGCCTCACATGTACACGCAAATAACGATCAACGCGAGCGCACAAATATGCAAGGATCGGTGAAGTGAAGGGTGGAGTAAAAGAACATGCAGTAAATTGGGTAGGGGAATGATTGCCGTTGATTTTGCTCCATGTGTTTTATAATTAAGTCTTTAATGCCACCGATTGCAAGATAAAAATAAGAATTTTAAGGTATTCTGGAACGTTCTACCGTATTCAAGAAGGCTTTTGAAAGTTCTTTTGATAATCACAACAGAAGAAAAAAAAAAAACAAGACATGAACATGATTGTGCTAGGTGAGAAATCTGGTTTATTGTTGCCAAGGCACTAATTGAACTGGGCATGCGTAGTTCCGTATATCGATGTTTGAAAATGGCGGCGGCCTTAGCCAGCAAGCATCTCAGATGCCTGGGAACATCATATGATTAACCACAGCAATCGATATAAGAGGATTTCCTTGTGTTCGACTTCAAGACAGAACAATAGTTCCAGGATGCCAAAAATCGCTGAAAGGTATGCCTGTGGATACATTAACCCGTAGAATGTTAAACAATGACGTGAAACTGAAAGAATGTAGCCTACTGCATGTAAATTAGTTAGTAGCCTACGCTGTGGACCTAAGTTTGGTGCTTCGGAATGGCTTAATATTAAATTTAGATATTAATTTTTCGAAGATCCACTCTGGGCTCAAAAGCACGTTATTGGTTTGGCCTATTTGTTTCATTGTGTAAAGTTGGCTAACTGTTTTTACCCAAGGCGCACCGTGAATATGATCTTTTCCTTTATTAAATACATTTTCATTAGATTAAGCTTTCATACTTTTCATTATAACAAGAACTGGTGGTGAAATCGGGTCGAATAATCTTATATTTAGCTACAGTTACTATTAAGAAAATAACACGGCTGTCATACTAAATATACATCTATGTACATGTAGGCCTATTTTCTCATGTTTTCTATTTATTTCAGAAACAGTGATGAGATAAAAACAGTTCTTGACCTCCATAGCCCTATCTTCTGACCTTTATTGGCCTTGACACCTGAAAGACCTCTACCTCAGTATCCCAACAACATGCCTCCACATAGGATGACAGTTGAGCAGTATGGAGAACCAGAGGATGGAGATGAACAAGATACCCTCATGGGTAAATTTCGCGCTCATTATCATGGGAAGGGACTTAAACGAGAGACTCTTATCTGTACTGACCGTATTTCATCGGGAATATTTATTTACACTCTCTTCACTGGATATTATGTAGGTATGATAGATGTCATACCAGAAATATACGAAAAAGATTATCCACATTATGTCTACCCGTTAAGGGTTGCATTGACATTTTGCTTTATACAGGTGATCGCTAATTGGCTGTGTGTAAGATGTTACGAAACTGGATATTTTGTGACGAGAGACAGACCCAATTTAAGAAAAACTTTGTGGGATGAAGTAGCTTTTGCTGAGACGACTGTGTTGGACAATGAACATGGAAGTCACAGGCGGGATGGTGTCTCAGGCATTCGTACCGAACAAGAGTTTGCGTCAAAAGAAGAAATGAATCTGGCATGGAAACGTTGCTTAATTTGCCAGCACAATGCACCTCCGCGCTCTCACCACTGCCGTGACTGTCGCAAGTGCATACTGAAGCATGACCACCACTGTTATTTCGTCGGACGCTGCATAGGATTTTACAATCAGCGTTATTTCATCGTGTTATCATTTTACACTGGCGTAGGCAGTTTGGCTTCTTTTCTGCATGTGCTCTACTATTTACATTCTGTTCTCCCTGATGACATGCACTGGTACGATTATGCATTCCCGTATACATTTTACACGTGGTTTGAAGGAAAAATCACGTTTCACAATCTCCTGCTTATTTCATACTGCTACATTTTATGGTGGAGTGGAATTCTGGGATTGGGGTTCTTCCTTTGGGAGATGATTTTGGTACTGACTGGAAAAACTACGTTTGAGGTGCGACAAAACTTGCACGTAGTATGCTTGAGCAGCATGCGGGAGAAACTGAGATCGGTTTTTGGGGAATTTTGGTTTTTTAACTTCATCCTCCCTCTTCAGTTGTTGTACAGACAGAGTGGGGATGGAACAGAGTGGAAAGATCTGAAAATATTTAATCCTAGGGGACAACCTCTCAAAGTGGTATTTGCTAATAAGGACCATTGAGACTGTGTATTTGTGAATGAGGTAAAAATATGACAGCATGAAATAGAGCAGATGATCAAAGTGTCTTGCAATCAAAAATTGAAGCACCATTAACCTGTATGCACGGGGGGGGGGGGGGGGGGGGGGGGGGGGGGGTCATT